TGTATTCAATCCTTTTTACCAAAAATCAAAAATACTAACCGGTTCAGAGAAGCTGACAAAATAGGTTGTATTATATTAGAAGACATGAAAAAGAAAAAGGATTATTGTAGCACCCGGATGAATAAAAGAGCATGAATACTCCGATTAGAATATAACAACAGTATTAGTTATAATATCAACAATCACAGCAGCTGAATAACGTCTATTTTGTTTAACTAAAAAAAGTATTTGTGTTTTCAGCATAATTGTATTTCCTGAGCGATTTTCAATTCAGTATCCAATAAAATTTAAAAAATTGTCTCTTTAGTTGAATAAAATCGTTCGGAATGATAAAAGGTAGTTACTTTTTGAACGCGTTAATAAAAATTATTTTTTAAAAAAATAAATTATATAGTGTGAGAACACGTAAAATAAGTTTAAGTTGGTAATGGTTTAATTAAAATTTAACCTTAGTATTTAATATTCGTTTTTGGTTTTCATAAAAATTATTAATTAAATAAGAATAAATTATTCTAAAATCTATCTAAATAAAATTACTATAAAAATAATATAAATAGCTGTAATGGAAATATTAATAATAATAAATGCAATTACAAATATACATATATATACAAAGCTATGTATGTACATAAATAAGTAAATGTTTTTAATATATGGCAACTTAAAAACAAGAAGTGTTTATATATCAAAATATTTCTTAATAAATAATGTAACATTGCAGAATTAGGTTATTAAATTATGCTGCACATATTAATTCTAAATAATTTTTTTTACACGTTATACCTATATGTACATATGTAAGGTCTTGAGTTCGTGGTTCTTAAATAAAAAATATGTTTTTATTTTAAAATTGGATGATTATAGAAAATTGTAACCTGCATGTCAATGAAACAAAATATTAAAAATTTAAGAAAATAAAAAAGTGTGACTGTAACAACAGCTCTAGTTCTAAAATTCTAATTCATTAATAACTAAAGTTTATAGCAATTGATCTAATTTTTGATAATAACGTATGTATGTAGGTATAAACCTACTTTATAATATAAAAATATTTTTCATGTGAATAATTATTTAGAAATCTTGCAAACAAATAAAGAATTTAAGCTTTTTTTTTAAATAGTTGCTGAATTAACGTTTTTAAAAAAGATAAATTAAAAATTGTTATTTCAATAAATATGACTAAGAATTAATAAAAATTCCTGTATTTTTTGTAATTGCCGAATAAAAAATCAGAAGCTCCTTTAGGAAATCTTCTTTAAAACACAGAGAAATTGAAACACAGAAATTTGAAAATCTGTGGGTTTTATAACTGTTTAGTAATTATTTTAAATATAAGTAGTTAAGTACTGAGTTAAAATTAAATATGAGTAATTCGTAAAAAAAATACTGAAATACAGAAAAATCTTGTGATAAATAAACTTTTATGATATTAAAAAATTAACATGCAAATGTTTGTTTTCTTGAAAATGTCACATGATAATCAAACAGATTTACTTATCTTTCACAAAAACATTTTATAGTTTAATACAATAGGATTTTGCGCAGATATATTTTACAAAACCTACACGATATAAGAATAAGTAAATAATCGGTATAACGTTTGTGAAAAAATAAAATTTGAGAAATTGAAATTTACAATCCAAAATATTAAAAAACCACATTTAAGTATTTCGTTTATACCAAATTGTCCCTGTAGGTATTTTGAAATATGTTCTTACAATTGCACTCATAATGACTTTATATTATATTAAAATGCATGCGTGTGCAACGAACGGACAAGTCAATTCCGTAAAAATTCTATGAACTTTTTTTATATTTATAACTTGTTATTGTGCAATAACCAGTTCTTGATAGTGTTGTTTTGATTTTCTTTCTTTGCGAGAATATAGGTCAGTTGCAAAAGTATCTACGAGTACAAAAAAAGCAACAAAACAAAAATCAAGTACAAATTCTATTTTATCTACACACACTGCTGCAAATATGTACACACATATACAAACTTGAATATATTATATAATATTTATTTATTTATTATATTATAATACCAATTTATTGAGTGATTTTATGTAAAAAAGAACATTATTTATTGCAAACCTTGTTGTTGATGAACCCCATTAAAGATACAGTTATTTAAAAGTAAATTTGAATTTTAAAATTGTTGAGATTTAATCGGTTTAGCTTAGGCCATAAACAAGTGAATTATTTTACTTCATTTAACGAACTGAGTTTTTTTAATTCAATCAAAGGTGACATAGATATATCAACATGCTTAAAAATAAACCTCGTTAAAATGCAACCAAAAATTTAGCCCTCTTTATTTTTATATATTCTATATATGTATATTTCCAAAATAGATTCGTCGCGAGTATTATGCAATTTGTAAGATACGACCATTTCTAATGACACAGAATATGTAGGTAAATTCCTTTAAAATTAACACAAATTTAAATATTATATTTCATAAATTGGTTGATAAAAAGAAATTATCGTCAAAGGAATATATACGCCATAATGTAAAATTGGTCCAGAAAAATTAGGCCCTCTAGTTTTCGAGGTCATATCCCAAAAGTTGATCAAAAAGACCCGTGCCCTAGCAAAAATAATAAATACGCGCGTTAACACAGACCGACATCTCTCTACAAAAAGTTTATTTACGCTGCATCACTAGAGAGAAGTGCGTTGCATCGAAAATTTGGTGCCATCATATAACATCCCTTATTATATGCAGTGCGGTCGGTAAAAATGTGTAGAAATTAAGTAGGTAGATACTTAGAATATAAAATAAATATTTCAGCTCTGAACAGATGTTATAAAAGAAAAAAGCATAAAATCAAGTTAATGTCATTTATTCTAGAATATTCTCCTTTTTTACGTTAAAGTCTTGGAAATTTTGATTAACGCATAGTTAAGCTTAGTTAACGCATAATTAAGCTTAGTTCAATGAGCGTTTACTACATTATATACTAGTTTACATTTCATTAAACAACAAGATATAAGTAATTGTATACGCTGGACGTTCAAATGAGTATAAGTTCAAAAACTAAAATTTTCAAGAAGAAGAAAAATCTGAATAAAATTCTATGTGTTGCGTATAATCTACCAATCAATGCAGAAGATTGATGTTTTAAGGCATCTTCTGAAGATTCAGAAATTTCTTAGAAATTTTAAAAACGAAGACTTATCCTTATTTCAACGTCGGAACTTGAAAATCCGCTGACCTGTAAAGGCCCAGTTCCAGTTGCCAGTGACTTTTCTCAAAAGTTGAATAAACTGCCTCATTCTCAAAATAAACTAAAATATAAATTTTCGTGAAAATCGGTTCAGCCGAGCTTGGGATACTCATCTGCGCAGACCCTTATTTTATGCAATGCACTTCGTTAAAAGAAACAAACAATTTCTAACAATAACATTCAACTTTTTTTTTTTAAAATATTTATTTTTCCGCGTATTAACGTATGTGATTCATAAAAAATATTACTGGTTAAATGAGTACAGATTACAATGGAAATAGCGGCAACTAATAACATTATTTTGGTTGTAAGAGTATATGTTCATATTTAAACGGTCTTCATCGCCCAAACTGGAAAGAGTTTTAGTTATACAAATTTTATCAATTAATTTTAAAGGGGTTCTGAAAAAAATTAAGTTATAATATTTTTACAGAATACGGAGCATGAGTTCTGTTTACTGTTTATGAAATTATGTTTATGAAATACTGTTTGAAAAATCCTCCTACTCTAAACGCCAACACGTATTAAATTTACGTATTTAAAATTAAATTATTTTATATGGTCTTTAAATATTTATTTTAAATTGCTTACGTAAGTACCAAAATATACTCTTTTCTCTACCAAAATTTATACTTGAAATTTATCTTTATCTGAAGATATTAAGTAAAACATATGAAAAACATATTAGATGCATAATATTACATACATACATATATATATATATATTTATAGTTTATTGTTAATATAATAAAAGATCAACATTAAAATGTTATAAAGATAAAAGCAATATCTTTGTTTATTCAATAAGATAAAAGTAATTATTTTTGAAAACGAGAAATTTAACTAAATAATAATTCAATGAATGTTGCATACATATGCAAGTGTAATTCGTGTACATGTACTCGTACGTACATACTGCATATGTTATTTACTTCCAAAATAGGCTGTTTTAATTTTTAATTTGAATTTTAAATTATTATCCTTATATTAAGTATTATATGTATGTAAATAAATTTGATCATATGGCATTTTCAAAAATTTTCAAAATTAATTTATTTTAAAATTCAATTAAAATCAAATTATTTAAACATTTTTTTGTTATTTTGAGTGTTATTTTAAAAATCTACATAATAATTAGCCCTTCTTAGTATTTAAACAGAATTAAATACTATTAAATTTAAATGCAAAAATATAGAGTGCAAAATTTATAAAATTAATGATTTTGTTGTTTATTAATTATTTGAGATTTTCTATTCATACTTTTAGTTTAACATTTTATTATAGATACATACATTATTATACATAGTGATATATATTATATTATGTATTAATACATAATACAAGTTCATGCATACATCTGTTTCATATTTTCTAGTGTAAGAATATGTGGTTATCTTGTTACCGTAATTTATATGAAAGTATTTATGTTATTTTAAAAGTGAAAAATTTAAATGATTAATTAAAAAAAAATATAAAAAAAAAAACATTTTTGAAACAAATAGTACATACATACATATAAAAAATATTGAGTTTTTTTCAAAAGTGAATTCGTTTTACGTACATACATTCATACACATATATATATATTCTTGAGTACTTATATTTAATATTTAATTAAAGTGATTTTTATTACTCATATCTATACAATTTAATCTTGTGGTTTATATCTACACTTTGGAGCAAAGCAATAAATTTGTTCGTTTGATTTTAATCGAAAGTTTTTTTTACAAAAATAAAAATTCAATTTTTGAATTTTATTAAAAATTTCATTTAAATTAAAAACATAATAAAACTTAAAATACGTTTCTAATTTTAAATTGGGTTTGTTGTAGTTTAAATATACTTACATAAGTATTGAAAATCAATTTTGGTTGGAACAGAAAAAATCACTTTTTAAACAAAAATGTAAGTAAATTTTATAATAAAGTATTGTGGATTTAAGAAAACGAAAATTATTTTGTAAAATTATTAATTCTATTTTTAGATTTTATATACTTAATTGTTTTTAAATTATTTGTTATTTTTTTTTAATTTCCTTGCGTGTTTGTTTTAATTAAAGAAGACATACATACAGTTGATATTTTTTACTCGAAAAACTTGGCACATTTTTTTTATAAGCACTTTTCATGTGAATTGCTTTTGGGTAAAAAAAATTGCTTATCCTATGACGACAATTTAAATTTCATTTATAGCTACGTTAGAGTTGTATTTATATTCCACACAAATGTCTACTTATTTATTGCAATAATTAACTTAAGAACTTAAACATTAATTTAGTCTTTTATTTGATCTTATGGTAATTTTAGCCGCAAAAAATGAATTTTTTATTGTCTTCTATTTGATTGAAATGTTCTAGTTATCATACATATAATGGACGAATTTTTTTTTTATTAATCAGAAGTACCAAACTAAACAATTTTTAATTAATCTACTCTAATCTACCAAACATTTTCCTTGAAAATTTTTGAAGAACTTGTTGAAATATATATACATATATCTTATTTTAAAAGATCTATAAGTAATTTGAATTTGAAGATCGTTTTGGGGAATTTAGACAAAAATAAACTCTAAAAATTGGCTGAAATATTCGAATATCTTTTTCGTTAACCAGCAAAATCTCGAATTAAAGAAAAAACAAGTAAAAACGTTTTGCGATATAAACCGATTGAATTATAACCTCATTTTTGTATAGCAATTACTCGAACCTGTAAAACCATTCTATAGAAACTTCAGAAATATATCTGACCTATAATTGGATACACGACTGCCAAGTACGTGAATCTGACTTTAACGTATTATTTTTTCGAATATAACAAATTTGCTTTTAGAGTTGTATGGCAGCCACTCGAACCGGTGCAGCCATCCCATTAAAATTCTTAGACAATGTGTAGAATGTAATTGGACACATGTATACAATTTCATATTTTTACCTTTATAAGTTTTTGAAATATTTAAAATAAACTCTTTGAGTTGTATGGCAGCTTTACAAACCGGTTGTCCAAATTGGTACTATTACAATAGGGTTCGCCCATGGCACAAAATAAACAACATGTGAAAGTCGATTGCATTATTCTTTTTTGCGTTATCGTGCGATTGGACGGACGGACGTGTCTAAATCAATGCAGAATTTTACGTTGAGCAAGAATATATGTATATATTGTCCATACATGACTCCTTCAAGTACTTACAAACTCCACACCAATGTTAATATACTCTTTACGAGGGTGCAGTATATATAAAACATACTAATATGATAGTTAAATTTCACATTGCACGGTTAATTACAATTTTGTAACTCATAGCATCTTTTATAACTCTACGAATAAAAGATTCTATGAGTGTTCTAGAAATTGCATACAATTTTATATGATTTTGTTGCTATAACCTTTTTATATTGTTTTATTTTAATTTATATATACATCTATTTATCATTGGATCTCTTATATTTTGAATGCCTGCACATATTTTTTCAAATGTAAGTAAATTATTTTTGAAATGGAGCGGCTATCAAAAGCGCTAATTTCTTATTGCAGTACTAAACAGTTTTAAACGTTTTCTTAGCCAAATAGTTTTTAAAATTCATATAAACTACTTGACAAATTAATAATGTTCCAGAATTTGTAATACAAAGCATTTTTGAAAATTTGATGAGCTTGTCCAAATTATTTTTTGAGCTGCAGACATCGTTACAATTCGCCTAGAATTAAAGTATAGAACGTTGAAAAAGAATATATATGTACATTCATTCTTCATCTCAGATCATGTACACCATTCTCTACCTCAGATGAATATTTATCAGTATTAATTACAAAGGATGTAGAAAATTCCTATATGTTTAAGTAGAAGTAATGAAGCAACCAATTCAAACAAAAAAATTAACTTGATTAAAATAGATTTTTCTTAACTGTAATAAATTGAAAATTTTTTATGAAAAACAAGGATGTGATTTTGGAAATTAGAATATTCTTCTTTATCAAACTTACTTAGTTTTTTTAAAGGTCAAAGACCTCAAACAAAATTATATACTTGTGTAGTTATAAGACATCTTAAATTACTCAACTTTATTTTTTAAATTCTCAAAACATGAATAACTTTTTCGTCTTTTGCCTTCATTTTATGTAAAAACATGCCGCCTTTCACAAAAAAAAAATCAACAGTATCCTCAATAAAACTATAATAAAAAAATTAAGGTGTATTGTCTGACTCTGATTTACTTCTTCCTTAGAATAGTGCACATTAATAAAAAAAACGATCGAAGTTAAAGGGAAATAAAAGAGTATGATAACTCGTCTGCCTCTGGATAAAACTAAGGTGTATAAGTTTTGCTGTTTTTTTTGAGATTAAAACATGGACAATCAGGTTTTTTTCTCAAATTTTAAGGTGTATTTGACGCCACCAGTATATCTGTTTAAAGTAAACCGAACGCATAAACAAATTATAAATTAAAATAAATGACGTAAAAAAATGAGAAAATTAAGTTTTTTTGTCGACAACGTTACGCACAATAATCAAGGTATTATGATCGTACCAAATTTAACATGTTACGTTTTCAACGTAAACAAAACTCGTAAACAGTAACTTAGTGCGATTTCACCTCGTCAGCGCATCTGTCTCTTGATTTCCTGTACATTTTTTATTGAAATAACTTTAAATTGAAGGCGTGATGAATTACTCAAATTTTTAGAGAATATATCTAAGTAATTTTAGAAAGTCGACTTTTATTTTTTTTTCACATTTTTAATAGATTATATTTTAAAAGATAAAAGATAAATATCTAGATACTTTTGTTTTCTTTAAAATTTTATATTTCAATTATCATAGTTTGAACAATGAAATTCTTAATTCCAAACTGTCAAGCAATTTCTCTCAAACTTCAGGAATATATCTGACACGCGACTGCGAAGTTTTATGCTGACTTTATTATTTTTCCGAATATAAAAAATTTGCTTTTGGAGTTGCATGGCAGCCATCCGAACCTGTGCCGCCATCCCACTAAAATTTTTAAAGCGTATGTAAAATTTAATTGGACGCACGTATACAAAATTTCATTTGTATACCTTTCTTAGTTTTTGAAATATTTAAAACAAACTCTTTAAGTGGTATGGCGGTTACCCAACCTCGTTGTCCGAATTAGTCCAATTACAATTGGGTTCATCCTTGGCACAAAAGAAACAACTTGTGAAAGTTTGGTATGGATTGAATTATTTGTTTTTGAGTCATCGTCCTATCGGACGGACGGACATGTCTAAATCGACGCAGAATTTTATGCTGAGCAAGAATATATATATATGTGCATACCGCAGATGACTCATTTAAGTAGTTACAATCTCCATATGAAAGTTAATATACCTTTCACGAAGTGCAGGGTATAAAAACAGGCGGGATTGTTATTTCGAGAAATTATTTCTATCCAATAAATGCTTTGAAGAAATTATAGTTGCCCTTTTTCATATTGTATTTTTTTTATATTGTTGCAGGACTTAGTTTTTGCTAGGTGATGTTGGCAATTATGCATTGACAAAGCTATTTTGTTTCTGATTACGATTTTTTTTACTTTGCCATTTGGTATGGTTTCGTTTAAGATAGTCGGCCAAGATTTATGATTAGTTAGTATCAAAGAAAAATAAATAAGTAGTTGTTTAAAATACTTTGATTTATCTAGTATTTACTTATGCGAACTTTAGTTTAATTAGAAAAATACATAAAAGAAACCCTGCAGTAATCATAGATCTCGTAACTAATTATTAAATATGAAGGAATAACAATACAGAGCGTTTTGGAAAAATTTAGAACCGTATGTATAAAACACCGCAAAGTTTAAAATAGGTAACATAAGCTTTTTTAAGAGGTAACACAGCTTTTTTCACTAAATTTACTCACTTAGTTTCTATTTAATGGATACTAAATAAAGTTGGGTCAAACCAATGGTTTGTATTGTAGCACTTTTCCCTTCAACAAATGAAAATACTGCTTTGCAAAACAATCGATGTATACCTACCACACTATTAAAATTACTTTCATTCATATACGAAACTATTTCTAGGATTGCATATATTTAAGATGAACAATTTATGCAGTTTTTGAAACAAAGGAAAAATTAATTTAAAGAGGGGTTAACATAATGCTCGATGTTAAGCGTTAATTGCGTGAGTTAAGAAAAATAATTAGATTTTTTAATGTCATGGAATTTGCCGTTACCTATCTGCATTTATAGAAATTTAAATTCTGCATTTATAGAAATTTTTCGGATATATAACGCGTCAACAACAAATTTCAAGATAACTTGAGAGGAGCTGGAGATGGAAAAAAATTTTCTTCTAACGAAATGAACTATTTGGTAATGCCTAAAAGTTACTAAAATTTCAAGCTGCCACATCTTGGGGTGTAGAAGAAAAATAACATAAAAAATTTGAAAAAAACGGATTTTATGTAACGGCGAATTTTAACGGCCATTTTGTTTTTTTAAAGTTCAAGTATAGTATGCCGTAATATAAGAAGCATCTCACTGTTTTTCGGAGTTTATATGGTTCATATGGTTCAACTACAGTAAACAGTTGAAAAATGACATTTTTAGGGTTTTGGGGGGTATAACTTTTAGAGGGGAGGAGATAGGTAAAAATTATGTTCTACGGAAATTAGTTTCTAGTAAAGATCTATGTATATATAAAAATTCAGGTTTCTATTTCCTTCTATTTTCTAAGCTGTAGAAGTTTTGTAAACAGACACATGAACAGACGGACGGACGAACGGACAGAGTGAAACTAATAAGCACTTTTTTTAAATTTTTTTTTTGGAAAAGTGCTAAAAATTTACTTTGTTAAAACTTTTAACACATGTTGAAGTTATTAAGAATTACGATGCTTTCTAATGCTACCCTTTCTAATGCTACGCTTTATAAGGAAATG